CTTTGCCAATTTAAGCGAAAGATTGATGGAAAGGAGAGAAGAAAAAAGGAAGCCTCACGTAGAGAAACAAAAATTGTGCCCAACATGGGCCTTTACTTGGTCTCCGGTACCTGAGCTTTACTCCTGGCTGGCTATGCCAAAATTTTATCAGGTAGCTCCTTCTAAAAGTGGCCTACAGGCCAGGCATGGTAGCACATGCCTGTAATCCCAGCACTCAGGAGGCTGATGCAGGAGGATCACCTTGAGTCTGAGGCCACCCTGGACTACATAGTGGGTTCATGGATAGCCTGAACTGCATACCAAGACTGTCTCCAAAAAAAAAAAAAAAAAAAGTGGCTCACTGAATAATTGTTCCTGGGATTTGGGTTGCTCACCTCTACTGCTGGAGTTGAGTTCCAGGTTCTTTTCATTTGAACAAAGAATTGAATGAAATGAGCAAAAAGCAGTCACAGTATTTGAAAAAGTAAATGTGAAGAGTGAGGGAGAAACTGGCTCTGCAGAGCAAGCTTGGACTGAATAAAAGAGGAAAAAGCAAGACAAAAGTATACCCTGGAGGACACAGAGCAGGCTATTGTGAAGAAAGCCACATAGCTTCTTGGATGGCTATTTCATACCCCTTCTTTTCGGACATGTTGGCACATGCCTGTAATCCCAGCAGCCTGGGAGGCTGAAGCAGGAGGATCACAAATTTGGGGCCAGGCTGGGCAACTTAGTGCCTTAGTAATCCCTGTCTCATCAGTTTCCACACATAAACTGCACGTGGTCCTATCCAATGCTGATACCTGTCCCGAGGCGTAGTCGCTGTCTTCTATTCTCTGTCTGGACACACTATCTCCCTCCCCTTCTCAACTTTTTGCTATTATACCATTCCCATCTGCATATACACATACTGTCATTTCTTTAAAAACTTTACTCCTTTTTCTGCACCACCCCATTCCATGCTGCAACACTCCATGAAAGTTTATCTTACTGCTTCTCTGCCTTTTGGCTAAGACCAAGTGAAAGCCTATCTTTCTGGCTGGGCAGGGTGGTACACTCCTGTAATACCAGCTTCTTGGGAGGTTAAGGCAGCAGGATAGCAAGTTTGAGGCCAGTGTGGGCAATTTAGACTCTGTCTCAACAAACAAACAAACACAGCTTGTCTTTCTACAGCCAAAAATTATTGCTTATGGTTACAGTGCCACTGCTGAACCCCAGTCAAGTCTAAGGCCTCATCTAATCTAAAACCAGTCTTTGACATCAGCAATCAACTCTCTTTGATATCTATACTTTACCTGACTACCACTGTCTTCCTTTTACCTTGCTAGTCCCCACTCCCCTCCCTGACTTGGTGCTATCATTTGATCGCATCAGTTCCAATACCATCTATATCAGGGATTTCTAACCTGGGGTCCATTGAGTCCCAGGAAGTCACAGATAAGAATTCAAGACAAGCTGGATGTGGTGGTGCACGCCTGTAATCCCAGCACTTGGGAGGCTGAGGCAAGAGGACGGCTGTGAATTCAAGGCCAGCCTGAATTATACAGTGAGCCCCTGTCTCAAAAAACAAAACCAAAACAGAACAAAATTCAGGGCAGCCATTTACTTGGATGGGAAATGATTACATCTTTATTTTCATTTACCTGTGATAATTGTCAATTCCATCATCTGTCCCCAATTATTACAGTGGCCTTTTATTGGTCTCCTGCTTCTATAATCTTTTTTTTTTTTTTTTTGGTACCGGGGATTGAACTCAGGTCCTTATGGTTGCAAGGCTAGCACAGCACCACTGAGCTAAATCCTCAGCCCCCCTATAATCTACTTTTTTTTTTTAGTACTGGGGATCGAACTCGGGTCTTTGTGCTTGTGCAGCAGGCGGCGAAACCACTGAGCTAAATCCCCAGCCCCTCATAATCGATTTTTTTTTTTGGTACTGGGGATCTAACTCGGGTCCTTGCGCTTGCGCAGTAGGTGGCAAAACCACTGAGCTAAATCCCCAGCCCATAATCGATTTTTAATACAGTATCCAGAATGATTTTAAAAATCAGAAAGTTTGGGCTGGGGATTTAGCTCAGCAGTGCCACACCTGCCTGGCAAGCACAAGGTCCTGAATTTGATCCCTGGTACAAAAAAAAAAAAAAAAAAATCAGATAGCTCATTCTTCTATTGAAAAACTTCCAATAACTCTTCACTTCACTCAGAATAAAAGCCAAAGACTCAACAATGGCCACAAGGAACCACTCCAACACCAACTCAGGCCCAGTTGTTACTTCTCTGACTTGATCATGGTTGCCTTTCCCCTAGCTCACTTCTCCAAGTCTTGGTGGCTTCCTCACTGTTTCTCAAATTCCTCAGAAAACTCCTACATTAAGCAGTGGTTAATTTGCCTGAATTAATATAATTTATAGAATAGAATATAAATATATCTAACATATCTAACTTATACATAATATGATAAATGCATATTATAAATTACATATTTATAATATGTAATAATTCATTATGCCTATTTCTGATACTTAAATAGAAGCTAAGTTCCCAAAGGGCAGGGAATAATAAAAATGTATATTTTTGGGCCGGGGATTTAGCTCAGTGGTTTCACCGCCTGCTGCACAAGCACAAGGACCCGAGTTCAATCCCCGGTACCAGTACCAAAAAAAAAAAAAAAGTATATTTTAAAGGGATATTATCCTCTACTTAAAGGCTGAGCTTTTCTTCTGACAACACTTCTGACAGCAAATGTGTGTGGGGCCAGGCATGGTGATGCACACATTATACTTCCAGCACTTTAGGAGGCTGAGGCAGGAGGAACGCAAGTGTTATGGCTTGTGTCTAGATGTCTTCCCAAAGCCTCATGCAGTCATAGGGGGGCTTTTTCAGAGGTGGCTGAGTCTAGACTATGTGACTGATTCACTGTGCAATGCTAGGATTAAAGGTGCTAGGATTAATAGTGGGTGATCACTAAATCAGTCCACTGATTGGTCTGGCATCACCCTAATCCTAGTAGCCTACATACAGTATAAGGGACAGAAAGAGGCTTGTCTTGTCTCTTGCTTTGCTACCTTCTGCCCACCATGAACTGTTTCTCCTCTGCAATGCCTGTCTGCCATGCTACCCTGCCTTGGAGCCAGCCAATTACAGACTGAAACTTTCACAAACTGTAAACTAAATAAACCGTTCCTCCTTTAACCTTGGTTGTTGGGTATTTTGTCTCAGCAATGAGCAACATAACTAAAACAGCAAGTTTGAGCCCAGCTTGGGTGATTTCAGTGAGAGCTTGTCTTAAAATAAAAAAAGGGATTGGGGTTGCAGCTCAGTATGAATGCCCTGGGCTTAATCTCCAGTACAAATTTTTTTTTTCTTTTGTGTGTGGGTGTTCTACAATTCAATTCCATTATTACCTGGAGTTAGTGCAGACTACACAGCTCCCACATGACTACCCCCACTTCAGATGCAAGTCTCCAATGGGGTGCCCAGGCCACCCATGCTTCTGCTGAGCCAACTACATATTTGAGGTTTCTCATTATCCTCCTCAGGTTCAACAATTTGCTAGAATGACTCACAGAACTGAGGAAAGTGCTTTACTTACTTCTTTTGGCTTTTTGAGGCAGGGTCTCACTATGTAGTTCAAGTTGTCCCTGCACTCACCACCCAGACTGGCTGGCCTTGAATTCGTGTCAATCCTACCTCAGCCTCTGGAATGCTGGGATTATAGGAATATGTCACTAAACCTAGCACTTTGGTTACTATAGGTTATATATCCCTTATCTTTTTTTTTTTGTACCAGGGATTGAACTTGGGACCTAGCGCTTTCGAGGCAGGCAGCACCACTGAGCGACATCTCTGCCCATCCCTTATCTTTTTTTTTTTTTGATACTGGGGATTGAACTTGGGACCTTGTGCTTGCAAGGCAGGTGGCGGAACCACTGAGCTAAATCCCTGGCCCTATATCCCTTATCTTAAATGGTTGGGACCAGAAGTGTTTTGGATTTTTTCAGATTTTGGAATATCTGCACATGCTTATTTTATCTTGTGGATGAACCTAAATATAAACATGACATTCATATTTCACACAGACCTTATACACACAGTATGAAATAATTTTATATATTTTTTAGTGCACTTCTCTTCTGACTGCTATCTGTCATATGAGGTTGGGTATAGAATTTTCCACTTGTGGTGTCATATTGGCACTTAAAATTTTTAGATTTTGGAGCATTTTGAGGATGTGCTACAGTTTGGATTTGGTTGTCTTCCAAGGAACCCTATGTTCAAGGCTTGGTCCTCAGTGTGAGTGTTGAGCTGGTGGGACTTCTAAGAGGTAGGGCATAGGTCTCTAGGTCAGTAGGAGACTAGTTGCTCTCTTGCTCCTTGACTGATGATGCGATGGCTTCCTCCCACTGCCACACACCTGATATGACACTGCCAAGAGGCCCCTCCTCAGAGGTGAGGCGATGCCAGCACCATGCCCTTGAACCTCCAAAACTGGGAGCGAAGTAACCTTTTCTTTACAAAGTTAGCCCACCTTAGGTATTTCACTATAGCAATGAAAATGGACTAAGACAGGACATATTTATATAAACTTATATTACCAATTTATATAAAGGCCATGACTCAGGAACAGCTAAGTGGAAGAGATGCACAGGGTAAGGTACAGGGTTCAGAAGGTGCATAGAGCTTCTATGCCCTCTCTGGGAACTGCTCTCCCAGCATGTCCATGTGTTTATCAACCTGGAAGCCTCGGAATCCTGCCATTGAGGGTTTTTATAAAGGTTTAATTACATGGGCAGGATTAAAATGGGTCCCTACCTTACATATATTTTTCATCAGAATTCCAAATGGTTCAGAGATTCAAATATGAACAATGATATCACATGTATGCATGTGCAGATACACATACACACACACACACAACAAGAAAGCTTTGGGATTAAAAATCTTGCAGGTTTAAGGGAAAACAGGAAACAAACAAAAACCTCCATGCCCGACTTTCAGAAAAGCCAAAAAGAGATGACAAAGTAGAAAATTATATATATATATTTTTTTTGGTACCAGGGATTGAACTTGGGTCCTTGTGCTTGTGCAGCAGGCGACAAAACCACTGAGCTAAATCCCCGGCCCCCATAAAATAATATTTGTAACATATCACAAGATATTATCATACCTTCTATCACTGGTACATAATGAACTACTAGAGTCAATAAAGAAATGACAAAATTATTTGGGAGAGAAATGGATAAAGAATATGAATATATAGTTCACAGAAAAGGGTATATAACTCTTTAAATAAAGGGTATATAACTATAAATTTAACATCAAAGAAAAGCAAATTAAAAATATTCCATTTTTTCAACTATCAAATTGGTAAGAGCCACATATTTGATAGTTTAGTATTGGCTAAACAGTAAGGAAATGATCATGTTTATTAATTGCTTGGGGGAGTGGAAAGTGATATACGTATATCACCTTAGCAATATCTATAAAATTTCAAATGAGTATTTTGGCCCAGAATTCTCACTTCTGTAAATTCATCCTATATATATTATATTTAACAAAGAATCTAAGATTATAAGATGTGTAAATTTTATGAAAACCTCAGGAAAAATGCTACATTACACCACCAAATGTAAATAATATCCCAATTTGAGATTTTAAAATATGAAAAGTACATTTAGAATTGAAGCCATACTGTATCTGCACACATCCCATATGATATATATAGAAAATGAAATACTATAGCCAGTTTTTTTGTCAATAGCAAATGATGGAAAGCAACTAAATGTCCATCAATATATTTCTGGCTAGTGACAATACATCAACAGAATGGAAAGAAAAGCAGCTCTAAAAAAAGAATAAGGAAGTATAGTGATTTGGAAGGATCTTAATGAAAAGCAATATGCCAACTTTTGTGAAGAAGTGAAAAAGAATAAATCTAGGTTTACATTTGGTTGTGTATACAAAATCAAAGTAGGACAGAAAAGGAACTATGGTTACTGGCAAAAGTTGTGTAGGCACTGGGTGAAGGGGTATAGAGATAGAAGACATTTCAATGTTGATTTCATATTCTTGGGGTTAGTGAATAGATAACTGAATGAAAGGAAAATCCAGAAGTTTGGTATTTTTGAAAACACAATTTATCATGGAATATGTACAATATTTACTTTGCTTGCCATTTGACATGCCGCAGAAATCAGAAAATCAGCCTGACACTAAAAATTTTTGATGAATATGACATGAGAGCACATATTCTGACAATGTCAAATTCTTACCATAGCCTTTCAGTCCTAAAAACAGCGGTAATTCTTTATTCTTATAATGACTATCTGATAATTTCTTTCTTCATCATGGGCTTTAATATTGGCAAGTTTTCTTCACCAAGTCTCAGTTTCATAAAACTATCCTTTTCTTTCTAATGAAGCCATGTTGAGAGACATTTTCTATAAAGCAAGAGAAAGAATCTGGATCCATCACAAAGTCTAAAAACGGTACAGTAGTCTTACAATGCTTTCCACATTTTAAATATTTTCTGGTGCTTTTTCATGGTAATCTTCCCTTTCCTCCAACTATGTACTGCCTTGTTCCAAATACACTTGGACTATTCAAAATCAAGTTGCAGGAATGGTTTGACGAGAATGCAGAGGCTGTCTTGGAGCTGTTGCGTCACTTTTTTTTATTCTCTGTTGATAAACCTGTCACAACCAAGTTCTTCTATCAGAGGATTGATAACCTCGGATGCAGTCAGAGCTATGGTAAATGTTAAAATGTCAAAATCCACTCTCTGAGGATTACGCATATACTCAGCATCAAATGCTGCTTCCCTGGCTCTGCAGGCTTCTACAAATCGCCTGCGGCGTTCTTCAAGCTCCTGTATTCTGCCCGGGGCTATTGGGTAATTTTCCAGATACTGGCGGAGGAACTGCTGGTAATTAATTCCTAAAACGCTAAGTGGGTGACGGAGGCGAAGATACGGCAACGCAGCCAGATTCGCGGCCTGACTAGCTCTGGACCTGGGCCTGTTCTCAGGACCCTCTTCTTCCAGGGGCTCCCCCAACAATCGGGCGACCTCTGCCATCCGGACTTCCCTGGATACCGCCCCCAACTGGCCTTCCCTGGCCACCGGTCCCCCGCGGGCCGCCGACGCTGCCGCCGGTCCTTCTCGGGCCGCCGCCGCCGCCGAGGCTCCCCTGGGCGCCGCCGCTTGGGCTCCCCTTGCCGCCGCCGCCACCGAGGTTCCCCTGGCCGCCGCCGCCGGGGCTCCCCTGGCTGCCGCCGCTGGGGTCCCCCTGGCCGTTGCCGCCGGGCCTCCTCTAGCCGCTGCCGGGCCTCCCCTGGCCACCGCCACCGGGCCTCTCCGGGCCGCAGCCGCCGCCACCGGGCCTCCCCGAACCTCCTCAGGCCGCATCGGGGCCGGGCCCCGCCTCCCGCCGCCTACCTCCGCCTGAGGGAAACCGTCTTCGCCACCCGTGGCGACCGTCTGCAAGACAGTGATGTCTATGGGCAGCTGGGACATTTCGGACCGCAGAGTCTGTTCGGCCGCTACCAGGAAAACTGGAACAACGGGACAGCGCGATAAGGGTGTGTACACAACTGCAAGTACGTGAGCGCAATGCGCACCTGTGACCGCCTTGTGCACAGCCGGTGCGCAAGCGTGAAGTCCACTGCGAAAACTGCGCATGCGTATTAGCCGGGCGCACTCGCGCCTTCAGACTCCTCCTAGTGGCCAGAAGTGCCAACGAATCTGAAACAGCGGACGTCGAAGGGCGGGGCCGTGATTTACATTTCTAGCAGTTTAATGTTTATAAGGAAATTTTTACAAGATTATTTCCTGTAGGCATTCTCAAGATAACCTTCCTCGGATGCTTATAAGTTCTCTGTTCCCCAGTGGTTATAATGCCACCTCTATTATATACTAGAATATTCTAGATTCATGGCCTTTTCAAGGGGTCTTTATTCCCCCATTCATTCGTCTATCTTTAATCGTATCAATTATTAAAGTATTACAATAACACTACCTTCTTAAAAATTTAAAATATCTTTGGCTACTGTCAGACATTAATGTTTTTCAAAATCATATTTGTGTAATACAACACCTCACATAAAAGTGAACAATACATAAGTAGATAGAGCTGAATGATTTATCACAAAGCAGATATCTATGTAAGTACCACTTATCCAAAAAACTGAATATTTCCAATATTTCAGAATCCTCCCTCCTATTCTTATAACTAGCTTGTCCCTTCTGTCTAGAGGTGACCACCGTGATCCAGGAAGCAGAGAGAAAGAGATGATGAGACTGGGGTCCCAAAATACTATTTAAGGGTGTGCCTCCCTTCTAAAGGTCCATAGCACCCCCCAATAACACTCTGGGAATAAATTCTTTAACACAGACTTTTGAAGACACTCATCCAAACCACAGCAATAATACAAACAGAATGGTACAATACCCATGTACACAGTTCAGAGAACAGTTATAGAGATCATCTGGCCTCTGTCCATGTAGTTTAGAGCCTTTAGGGAATTTATGGATGGACCTTTTACAGATACGAATCATCTCATCTATAATCAAATCTAAGAAAAACTGTTTCTTAGGTTGCAGTTGCAACAAATAGTGGAAAGTATGAAAAAGCATTATGTGCTTCTTCTAGTGGGTTTCTCCAGGAAGACTTGGGAACAAGTACAGGTAGTTTATTTGGGAAAGAAAGATGGCATCAAAAAGAGGCAGGAGAAATGTCACAGAAAAGGGATGCAGCCAGTAAAAGTGCTCTTTCAAGTCAGCTGCTTCAGTGAGAAACTGATGTTTATTCCACATGAAAACTCTGGGACAGTCTGCAACACACCTCGGAATTCTCTCACTAGAGGGATGAGGGACTTGGATTATTTGTGCACCTACTCCTGAGGGTCACTGATTCAGTTCATTCCTCGACAGTGTTAGTTCTTTAGCATTGTCAGATTTTCATGCATACATGGGTAACAAGGCTATTTTTCCAGGAAAACAGATGATAAGGTACTGGTGAAGATACTACGTAGTATTTATTTTGTGAGGGAAGGGTGAGGAGATTCCCACATCCTGATACACACTTTTAAAGACCATTGTGTGGAGTGTAGGTTTATTTTTACCACTGTAACTTTGTGAAAATGAAAATAAAGAGCAACCCTCAAAACAGCTTGTTCCTCTGGGAGAAAGAACAGGGAAAATATTTTCCTATATATTGAATTATTCATATGTGTAATGCTGAATTCACGATTTCTCCCATCTTAAAATCTATTGTATAAGAATTTGTGCTAGAAAAATCTGAAACAACTCAGAAATTTTGGTCCAGAAAGCTCAAAGTGAATTCTGCACATCATAGAGATTTTGGGCTTTCACTCATCGAAAAAGCTCTTATTTTGCCTTGTTTGTTCCTGCACTGGAGTCACAGCCAAGTCCCGCTATCCATCAGCACCACGGACAGCGCCTCACAGGAGCCTCAGCTTTTGCGGGATCTGACTCTCAAGCATCGGATTGTGACAGAGCAGAAACTAATCTTTTGGGGAGTTATCGCAGGCGAAGAAGCACTAAAAGCAGTTATTACATGTTTGTTTAGCAGGGTTTAACTGTAGGATTGCGTTGGCATTAAGATAAGGCAGCCACCAACCAAAGGGGCAAGTGGATATACAATCTAATGTTTACTCTCCTTAGCAAGCCATGGATTCCAGGAAAGTTTTCATCCACCTACAGCAAAAATTGCTCAATTCCCCCAAAGCACATTACAGGATAGTGATGGGGTTCTTTGACCTAGTATTAAAATACAGACGTGACCAAAAAAGAGATGGGGAAAATGTAAAGAGGATGTTGCACTTAAAGAGAGCTGAAGAGTTTAGAGTTAGAGTGGAGGAAATTTAATTCTCTATTGGAATGAAATCCTGAAGAAAGGTCCGAAGTGTATCATTATCTTTGTGGTGGTACTTTGGAGTACTTGGAAGTCAGACTAGAGTAGGGTAAGGAAAAGGACCTATCCATTGGTAAGGTTGTACAAGCTGCAGCAATGGGGATGCAGACAGAGGATAAGAATGATCAACATCCAGGCCTGAGATGAGGTTTGTGGACAAAGAGGATATTTTTCACTATTTTCTTAAACCTACTTCGACCCATTTTTAAAGTAATATCTTGTTTCTCTTAAGTGGTTCTCCAGACCTGCTACAGAGCCAATGACCAGAGTCCATCTAGAGGGAAAGGGGCTGCCATTCTTGCATCTCAGCAGGAACTCAAAGAAGCTAAGGATCAGAGGGTGGAGCCAATTGCTGCAAAGACACACTTCCAGGGAGAAGGGCACAGGGGCCTGACTGGTTTTCAGATACAATATGGACCAGTGACTGCTCTAAGTGTTCTGTTGCTTGCTCTTAAAATAGGCATACTAATTACATTTTGTTCAATGTTGGTTCCAGGTTTGTATTTTGGTGTATTCAGGGCAGGTAAATTGTCCTTTTAGTGCACACATTGAAAGGAACTGCACATAAGAATTTATACTCAATTCACTTTATGAGCACTGTTTGAGTTAGATAATGAGAACCTGGACATTAATCTTAAACCTGTTAACAATAATTAGATTACATTTGGGAGTTCTCTAGAGGGAATTTGTATGTTAGTGTATAGGGAATGTATAAATCATTGGCACTGAAGGGTGGAGTCTCCAGGCTCCAAGGATGCCAGAAACAAGATAAAATAACCATGCCCTTGTGTAGTCCTCTCTTGCTGATCTTGGTTCTATGTGGCTCAAGGTGAAAAATAGAATATGACCACAGTGATGTTACATTCCAAAGCTAGGTCCTTGAAGCATTGCACCTTCTGTTTAGCTCCCTTGGAAGGCTCAGTTTGGTGGAAGCCAGTTAGCATTCAGCAAAACCAACAACCATGAGACTTCCATGATTGAGAAGTCAAGATATCTGTGGGTGTCAGGTTGAGAATGGGATAACCAACCAGCCTTCAGGTGTTTCAGCCACCCCATGGGAAGGTTCTGACATGCTAAAGCATCATTTAGACATCCAGCTCAACAGGTTCTTTAGAAGACTCAACTTTCCCTACAATCTGATTGAAAACAAATGACACACCATCTGTATGAATCCAGTAAAACCATAAAACAAGGAGAGATAATGATAAATTATTGTCTTAAACCAATGTTTTATGGAGGTTTGTTATGCTGCCAGGGGAGCAACTGCAAAACCACAGTCTGGTCTCTGCATTCATGTGGATAAATTGTACTTGTTCTAATGATAAATTATATTTTTGATGATAAAAAACCATCCCAATTGACTTGCAAACATAGAGTCCACGTTTCTGTACATAAAATGGCTAAAATCTTATAATTCTTTGAAGTGAGAAAAATAAATGAAGGAGATTATTTGAGGCAATCATTCAATTTCTGTGGTTCACTGATGATGGCTTAGGTTGAGAATTTCAGGTGCCAACTTTGCCACATCCTTTCTTCAGCTTCTCCAGTGCGTTCTGTACAAAGCCTTGTAGTGCTGCTATGAAATGAACATCCTTCAAATGAAGGAATGAAGAAATTTCATCTGATTTTCCTCAAATTATGAAGTTTCTCCCTGAAGCCACCAATTACTGATCTGTGGCTACAGACAGCTGCCTGACATTCCAGTTCAGTCACTGAAATTGGGTAAGATTTTGGTTCATAGGGTCTGACATATAATGATTGTATGACAATGCTATTCTGTGGTTTTTTTTTTTGGTACCAGGGATCAAACTCAGGTCCTTGCGCTTGCGCAGCAGGCGGCGAAACCACTGAGCTAAATCCCTGGTCCAACAATGCTGTTCTTACTGTCTTCTCACACTTTTCAGTGGGCTGACATGGCTCCTTGTGTCATAGAAAGATTTATCCTCTTTTTTATTGTTCTTTATTTTTATAGCACTGGGACTGGAAGTCAGGGCCTCAGGCATGCTAGGCCAGTGCTCTACCACTGAGCTCTACCCCAGCTCAGATTTATCCACTTGGATTCCCCCATTCCTCACAGGGAACTCACACACCTCTGTTGGTGATGACCACTTATTTCCTTTCTCTGTTAAACAATAGCCAAATGCTGTTAAGTTTGGTAAAATGTTAATGAACAAATGCAGTCAAGGCGTGATGTGGAAGCATCAGTAGTGGGCTCTTGGACTCCACCAATAGAGAGGGGCCTTCTTGACAAAAGGGAATCTGCTCCCTCTATTTCTCACAGACATCTAGTGAGGTCAGGAAGATACCTCTCTACACTTTTATCATCTCGACCAAACTTGTCAGGATTCAGTGGGTAAAGCCATAAGAGTATTTGCCATTTACCATCACCTACAAGTGGGAAGATGTGTAAGAAAAACAGCATGCTTCTAAACAAGGGGTCAGCCCTAATTCTTTTTGTTCCAAGAGAATGTTTGTGTTTTACTTTCCGAAATGGGCACAAAGTACACCTTTCACAATAACACTGAAAGCAGGTGCAAAGATTGACAGTGATCTTCAACTAAAGGTAGCTTTGTAAAAAGAAAAATACCAAAAAAATCAGTGCCCTTTCTGATTGTTGTAAAACTGGAGGGAAGCAGGGAAGGGTTGTTTGTTACATAAGAGTTGGTCAGGGCCTGGGATTTAGCTCAGTGGTTTTGCCGCCTGCTGTGCAGGTGCAAGG